GGGGGGGGGAGAAGTGGGCAAAAATAATCACAAAATAATTGCTTTTAAGGCTGAGTAGATGATGCCACGGTAATGTACAGAAAGGAACTGTTATGTTCCTGAATCATAGTGTTATCAAATGACTGCTCGGAGACAGAATGCAGTGTGAAGCCATAACGCCTTGCTGTATGTCATTGCAGTCACAGCTGTCCTCTCTGCTTCATTCACTTTGCTGAACTGGTGTGTGGGTAGGACTTGTTTAATGTTAATCTGCTTTTTTGTTGCAAATATATCCAAGCTTCCAAACTCTCAGTCATGTACGCATGGTTTTTATCCCTCAGCGCTACAACATTATTTAATAAATATAGGATTCCACACACAAATAAGGATTTATGAAAGTAAAACCAGGTCTCACATCTTGAAATATGGTTATGAGGGTACTTCACAGGAAAAGATAATTGGTACCGTAGTGGGTTTCAACATTCTGCCAAGTAACAGATAGATCAGTCCTAACATGTCAGTATTTACAAGAATAGTTGATTCTTTTCTTTCCTAACATATAGTTATTCAAAATAGAGGAACAAAATTGAAACAATCACAATCGATTTTGATATCCCATTCTATGATTTTTCAAAGTTTTTAGTAGTCACATCATAAAACAAAGCAAAGCTCTTCTCTTACACTGTGAGAAATTTTCTGTTCCTTTCCAGAAGGTTGCATTTTTGGAGAGAGAGGGAAAGGAGTGGAGGAGAGGTGTCAGTCTCTGAATAAGTTCTATATTTTCTTATATAAAAATTTTCAGGAAGAAAACTGGTTAGAGAACAGTTTTGCTTTGTTTCTAATACTGGAAGGTGGTAGGAGCTGGGAGTGCTGTGTTTTATCATTTAAACAAAATACAAATTTCCATGAATGGTGAAAAAACATTTTCATACAGCTTGAATAGTCTACAAGATAACTGATTGCTTAAAAACTGGTTATTCTGTAGCTGGGTTACATCTGACAAACAGAATTTATCTATGAAATGGAGAAATATTATTTGAAAGATCAAGGAGAGTTTCAAAGGCAAGAGCTCTAAGAACAAGATGTCTGCTAAAGAGAAAATCTTGTCTGTGTATCTGCATGCCTTACATGACTCTAGAAAATACTACTCCCAGATATTAGGGACTGCCTCATTTATAATATACTCATTTGCAAAAGGTTACAATTCATCCACAAAGACGACAAATCCTCAGGATTCAAGGAGGCAGACAGTGGGATCACAAAGCTGACAGTTGGCCCCACTGCCTGGAGTAGCTGCAGAAGACCAATGTGAAGACGTATGGCCTTCAGCACAGTAGTGGGCAAACCGAAGGCAACTGCAGACTGGATCACCTCCTGTTGAAAAAAATTGAGATCAGTAGTTCAGGAAGTTATGCAGCATACACTACCAGAAAAAAAGGTTGTGGGGACAGTAGGTACTCTAAGGGTTAACCTTTAACACAGCTGTGCACTTTCCTAGTGTATAAGCCTAACATACTTAATCAGGTGATTTATGCAATGTAGACAACACAAGCATAAATGTCTATCTTCTGGTACTAAGTCTGTTAACGTTAAAATTAGATATGTCATCTACACCCAGTATGCATTATTTTATTCATGATTACATATTTATTCCTTTATCAGATTTTTGTTTAAATGAGCTTCACTGAACACAAAAGACCTGAATAATTTCATATACAATAAATGTGTCCTCGTAGCCTTATTATTTCCTTAGATAGAGAAAAGAATATGGTTAGATTAGCTCAAATGACAGTTCACTGTCTTACAGAAGGTTCACTAGGTTGTAGAGAGAAACATTCATGCACTTCCAAATGAAAGGGTTGAAAAAAAAATGACAGAAGGTATAGTTAATTAGTTGACTGGATTATTCAATCCTTGCATAAAGGCATGAGCTCTGCTTTACTGAGGAAGCAAGCACTGACAGAAGTTAATGCCTTGGAGATTCTTCTTTATACATTTCAGACTCTTGTCAAAATTATAATTGCACTTATATGAGATTTGCTGTATTTGGAGTAATGGGGAGGGGGGGTGATCTTTTTTCACTGATGTGAGTTTATCAGCTACCAAAGGGAATTGAATAAACTGAACAGTGAAACTGAATAAAGCACAAGTGTATGACATAAATCAGAAACAATTATGTTAGGTGCTGTACAAAACACTTTGCAAAAGCAATGTTACCTATCTCAGAGAGGCTTACAGTATAAAAATGGGCCAAAAAATGATAAACAAAAAAAGACAGACTGATGGAATAGTACAAGGAAGCAGTGACACAATTGGTCAGTGTGACAGGCCATGTCCTCAGCACACCCAAGTCTGACAGCTGTCAAAATTTTAATAAATATCACAACAAAAGAGACTTTTAAGCAGGCAGTTAAGGAAAATATCTTATAAAAAAGTGAGGTGAGACAAGATAAAAACACAAATCCTATTTTCTTAGGAAAAAAATAATATTAAAAAAAGAAAATTATTTGTTTTTCTGAAGTCTGGATTCCTAGATTCATAGCCTAGTATGATACACTTTCTTGATATTCATCAATTGTCTGAATTCTCTTCTTAATGCAGTTGAGGAAAGCTTTGTTTTTTACCTCTAACTCCCTAGCCTCTTACAAAATTGACATGCAGTCCCTATAAGAAGAAAGCTCCTTTTGCGCTGAACACATGTTTACCATCTCCAGTCACGCCAGACATTTGCAGGGTGTCAGCTGTGAAGGAAACATGAATATGTTCACATGATCAACAGCTGCACTGTGAAAATGCCTGTGGGGAAGGGGAAATTTTCTAGACCCCTACCCATATTCAGCTCTGCATGTTGTGAACTGATTAAAAAAATGAGTCTAAGAGTTACCAGGAAACCAAGAGATATTTAGAGAAGAAAAAGACAGGAATTGATTTTCTATGGCATTCTGAAGTGATGAGATTGTATTACTTCATGACTCTTGTACGATTACTATTCTTATCAGCATCCTTTTTCAAAATTAATATGAGCAGCAAAAATCAAATGTGGCCTTTGAAACAGTGGTGTTATGACCTACAGTCTTGTCCAAAACCCTATCAGTAATTCTTCTAGCTATATACAGAGCCGTAAACAGCTTTTCTAAAGCTTGTGAAGCCTTCATCAGATATTGTTTCATTTACAAAGTCAGAAGTAAATTCAACAGACTTTTCAAAAACAAGGCACCATCATTTAGCTCTCCTCTTTATCTCCAGAACTCATTAGGACAATACTTTCAGCCAAATCACAATCACTTAAAATACATTTAAATAGTATGTCATTGTGCCTGCAAAGAAAGCTTGAATATAAAGAATGCAAATTCATGCAAAATAGTGTTTGGTTTAGAAATGAGGAAACACTGAAATTAGCATTGCTGTTTGGTTCTTTTTAGTGTCCACACCCTCACAACTGTTCTGCATGTAAAACTGGATGAAGAACAAATAAACAAACATCTTGAGAAGTCCACTATTGATCTAAACCACTAATAGGATGCCCTAGAGAATACCATAAACATCGGGGGAGGAAGACAGGAAATAAATTAAGAGAAGCAGAATTATTCATAATGGAAGCTAGTCTTGTCTCCCTAGCATCTTAGATTTATGTGTGGTTCCTCTCACTGGTCTGCCTCATTTCTTTTGTTTTGTTTTCGTGTTACCATCAGGCTCTTGCAAAAGGGTATAATTTGCATCAGCCTTTAAAAAATATCATATTAGTTGCAGTTCTATTATTTCACATAATCCAGGCCCAAATTCTGCAAATGACTTTTAGGTCAAAAAAAAGAAGCCGATCTTGGGCAAGTGCTACTGCACAGATATATTTGTTCTTAACGTGCTTTGTGTACCCAGGCTGTATGAGAACAGGATTTGTAGCTGTTACTCCAAAGATCTCTAAGAAAAAAATTGGCTCACCACATTTGATGATGCTGCTCAGTTACAAAAGAGTGGCAGTTTGGCATGTTACAAGTTGCTGTGCTACAACAAGCAGAGACAAATGTGCTTCCTTTCAAGGCAACTCTGGCACCTTGTCAGCAATTCCTGACCCTGTGTTACACTGCATTATGCCGGCAAGGTAGCTGCTCAAGCACACAGTGACGGAAGCAATCTCTGCAACGCTTATGGTTAAGAATCAGATGTTGCCCCTGTGTGCTGGAAACAGCTGAATGTAGTATATTAACACTGGTAGCACCCATCTCCAAAACACCTCCTGGCATTATTAGCCTGTTTGAAGGCTAATTTCAGCACGAGAGTTAATTGTTTTCCTGCATGGTTGCCATCCTCTGTATGTGTGACATCAATTGTCTACTGTATTGTTTGCCAAGTGGTTATTCTCCTCTACCTAAAGCCAAAGCTAGTCTTGTACACCGAGTCTCAACAACTACAATGAAAACATTCTTACGACACAGCATCGCAAAGATTTTACTTGCTGATGTCATGCTGATGAGTTCAAAAGGTTCCATTCACTCTGCAGTATTACCTGCCAATCCCTAAGATAGCATCCACAAGTGGTCATACGGAAACACATACATATGCTAAGAACTCTGCAAACATTTACCAACTAATGTTTAGATAAATGATCACTAGATTTGTTTATTAAAAAGTATTCCATCTAAACAAAGTTTCACCATTCCATTTTTATTCTCCAGTGGTAAAACATTCCCTTGTCAATGGAACACATTAAAAAAGAAAGAATTTCCTGGGCTGCAGTTATGAAAGATGGTCCTTTGCTCCTCATTCTTGAAACGCTGTCCTGCAGCTATCAGTCTAAGCATATGTAAGAGCCAACAACCCCTTCAAAGCAGATTTTCAGAATTAAAACTCCATTTCTATCTGATATTATCAAATCTGCAGAAACCACTTCCCATCGAAGAATTAAGCGTTAGATTTGGAAAAGTCAACTGCATAAGAAAGGAATCTCAGACTGAAATGGAGGGTTGTTTTGCTATAGTCTGCAGCGAGAGAAGTCAGAAGTCCCTGTGAAGGAATTTATCATAGACAATCATAGATATTAATCCAAAACAAAGAAATCTATAGCTGAGAATGCATCCTGCTCCTCACTTTTGCGAGGAAAGAATTGATCTCTTTCTTGTATTTAGTTCTGTGATTATTTATGCCTTCTGCTTTATGTACAGGGCAGTCATTAAAAGGCATTACCTCTACCCTACAGAATTTTCAGTCAAAATTGGACACCAGTAATACAGCCCAGATATGTATTAAAGCAAATGAAAACCCTATCTTGAAGGGACAAAGAATGTTTTACACAGGAACTGCAGTATCGGTTCACACTAAAGAACCACGTGGTCCATTGCTGCGTTTCTAACGATGGGGCCAGTAGGAGAAGTTCAGGAAAAGACCATTAGAGATGGGCAGCTTTCTTTTCCCCAGGTCAGCTATTGGGAGGAGCTGACTGACTTTCTGGAGAGGAGCTCAAATGTAGCCATCACATTTAATAGTCACTGTGGACCTGTTCTGCACAAACATGAATAATATCACTTTAAGGGCACTTAAACTTTTATCTTCCAGAACCTCCAGTTGCAGTGAGTTTCACAATTTGTAGTGTGATAGTGACTTCCTTTTGCTTGTTTTAGCCAGTCTTGGCTGGAAGTGTCACAAAAACGTTTGCTAAGCAGGGAGTTACGTTGTGTCCATAAGAGTTAAAGGAGAAAGCTGAAGAAGAAAGGGAGGACTGTCTGCACGATAGCAATCAGGTGTGAGGAATGAGATGCAAAAGCAACAAAAATGATGCAAGAGGACAGTCAGAAAGGAATTTGTCTCAGTATTACAAATCGTACAAATTCTGCTATAGTATTCTAATAATACCTGTAATATCTTTGCCACAAAAACACCAACTTTCCTTCACTATGTGTTTAAGATCATATTTCATCATCACGTTTTATTACTGACAAGAATCTTCAAACAGTGAGTGTACTTACCTGACAAAAAAACAGCTCACCTCATTTCTGTGTCAAATCCAGTAACATTAGAAAAGCTAAGTCTTATCTACAAAAGCTAAAGCGACCATAGAGTTTTGAAATAATTTGCTTATGTTAATTTCTGCTAACAGGCACATTTTCTGTTGCAGCCGCTTTGCCATGAAGTAAGTCTGCCTCATAGTGTATTTTTCTCTAAGTGGAATCGTCACCTTTTCTCCCTCCAAAAACAGAACTTTGACTGAAGAATCATCCTTGAATTTCACCAAAACAGGTCAAAGTGCTGAACTGCAGAAAAACTTTACCTGAAACTCTTCACAGAACTTACTTGCTTTTAGAAAGTGGTGCAACTCTAAAAAAGGGAGAATGGCTCCAAAGCACAGGTGATACAATGCAATGGCTTCAGACTTCACAAGGAAGGGCATGGTATTTGGAGTTTTTTGGATACAAGGAGTGGGTGTTGTTGCACAAGCAGTGATGCTCTGTCAGTCTAATCAATGCCACTTGTTCTATGAATGGAGATGGGTAAAGGGAAATGAAATTACTCAGGTCAGGAGAGAATATTCAACCTGAATTTTATACAGGAAGTACAAGGATAAGCTTAGAAAAGAAACTTTAAATATCTTTTATAAATTAAAGCAAATTAAGCTCAAGTACAAAAGATCAGTCTCAGAATCTCTGAGAAAAAAATTTGCACAGTTTTGTGGCTTCTGCTAGGAATTCATTTCTTTTTCTGATCCTATTTTTTTTTCTTCTTTTTCTGCAATGAACTTTCCATGAGAGGGGTAGCTGAATGATTGACTGCACTTGGAATTTGACCCTAAGGTCAAATAATGAACCCTGAAATCCTCAGCTCTTTAACACTATTCATTCTTTCTTTTTTTTAACTGATTGTTTTAGTGGTTTATTTTCATTGCTCCAATGCAGTACCTTTTAATCAGATTTGAGTCATTAAATATTGTCTTTGTGACACAAGCTCTGTTTCCATCACAGCCTCAGTTAAGCCATGTATCATGAATTATATTAAGGTAACCAGGAATAACTGATCAAGCTTTCCAACTTTTCAAAATAGCCTCTGCTGCTTATATTGGATAAGTAGAAAAATGCATTCTTCTGAATGTTCAGCTGGATGCTTTTTTAGAGCCGTATGCATTTCCCGTAGTTCTTCATATTTCTGTCTGAATCCCTCACTTTCTCCCTGTGGATGTTACCTCTGCAAGTGTCTTTTCATCCCACCACTTGCATTGCATTATGTCCTGGATTTTATAGCCTCGCTGATACCCAAACAGATGCAGCTCTTCTACCTCCACATTTCGCATGGAAACGGAATTCTTTTGTGATCCCTGCAGAACCAAAGCTAAGGTTGATGCTGCCTTAGCTGTGCTGTTTAACATTTGTGGCCATGCAGTGCCTCAATAAACTCAGGGGAGCTCTCTCTAGCAGTCAGATTTGTTCAGGTCTACACTCCGACACCAACATCTAGGAAATGCAGAGAAAGAGAGATGTATACACATGCAAATACACACCTCTGAGCCTTTTCAGTTAAATTATTAATTGTAGTATTTTCTGTTACTTTTACAGGGAATGTTTCAGTTCTGGGTTTCATGAAATATAATTTCCATTTGTACTTTTCAAACCTGTCTTTCACTGAGCTCTGATGATTGAGAGCGTTCTTTTCAACTTATGAACTTTCATGTAATGTCTAGATGATTAACTGGCCCTGGTGGTTTTGCAGCAAACGGCTTACACAGTTCTGCCTAATTAATATGCTCTGACATACAACCTCCAGAATGTATGGGGAATGGGTAGTGGTCCATCTCAAAAATAGGATTGAAGGATCAAGATTAACAGCTATCCATGGAGAACTGGAAAAGAGCAAACAAAGAGGATATAAATTATTATCTACATTGGTTTGGGGTTGAGAAAAAAAAAGAGACCTCCCATAAACTCAGTTTAGAAGGATAAAAGGGAAAAGGAATCCCTTTGTTTAGCACTATATCTGAAACAAAAATAAATAAAGTCTCTAATACAAATACAGCCCCTTTTACAAACATGCAGGAAACATTAGAGATCTTCAAGAGAGGAAGTAGTGGGAGGTCTTTATGACTGATGGGTTATTATTTTAACAATCCTTTTTTTTTTTTTTTTAATTCTTGTGATACTCTCAAACCTCACTGAAACCTTACTTGTGATAAAAGGGAGGGCTGCTGATGCAGGATACTTGGTGGTGATGCCTGTTTCCCCATTTGGAGCCATTGCCCTCGCTGTGCTAGGTTTTTCATTGACCCACTTAGCAGCAGGATGATGCAAGCAGGTGCTTGATTAAGGGCAACAAAAGGTGGCCTTTATAAACAAACATGTATGTTAAGGCCCTCCGAGGAGAGTTAGACATTGAAACCAGGGAAAGAAAAAAAAACCAAGGCCTCTAAATACAGCAATGAAAACAAATCATTTTTCATTCAAATATTTAACGTACTAAAAATTTGAAATATCCCTGAACAGAAACCAATTATCCCTACAACCAGAGGCTAATTTACCCAAATCTTTGAGCCACTGATGCTCAGCTACTGTCTGAGCTGTTTTCTACTTGAGAATCTAGGGCAGCTGACAGTCAACAGATCTACTGCGCTGAGAGGATTTGCTGTTAATTTGGTCCAGCTTCTGTTTTCCAATGTCAGTCAATGTTTTCAAAGTAAACTCATCCATGAATTCATCTAAAGACCTGACTTAAAGCCCTTAGGCACTGATGGATCTCCTTTTAGAGCTTTAGATGCAGTCCTAACTCAGCCAAAAGGTGAATAATTTTTGATGTAATACAATAATCATTCATGTATTGTTAAATTAATGCAAGTATTAATGCAACCTCCAGTTATTGAGGCATTACCTTCTGAATGTCTTTAGCTTAAATGATCAAAAACCGACACCAGCAGTGTTATTTGTTAGAAGTATATAAATTCTGACCAGCGCACATCCAACTGAAATTAAACAAAAAATACTTTGATAAGCATCAACATCCATACACAACTGTAGGATAAAGATTAGAAATGCCACAATGTCATATTCTATCCATCATTGTCTTAGTGATAATTTAGGGCCTAAATCAATGCATTTTCTTTGGAAAGACATCTGGAGGAGGAGGGATGAAAGGGAAGAGAAGGAGGAGGAAAGACAGGAAGGAAAGTAATTTAATCCCTGACCCACCAAAGCTTTTCCGGTATATGAGTAGCTTTAGGAACCTGAATAGCTTATTGAAGTAACACATGCATTGAAGTGTTTTGCCGACTAAAGCCTGAATCCTCAAGCAGTCTTCAGTCTTGGGTCCCACTATTAATGTAATGTACTATTAATGTGTTGGCCACAAATACCTTGCGCACGGATGCTGTCGTCACAACGGACACCTTTTCCTCTCAAAATAAGCTTGAGATCTAATTAGTATCATCCAGCAGCAATCAGTATGTGGGTCAAAATAGATGATGTCAGTTAACTAGGGATGGTTCAGAATACAGTTCTTTTGTCAAAAGACAGACCAGGCAGTGTCTCTGTAATATCCTAACTGGGTTTTGGCCTGTCGTATTAGTTGCCCCTGGAAATAGTCCCATTTAAGTTAAGCCATTATAAAATCCATAACTTCTCTGTTTCTCTCATCCTTTCTTCTTACTGATATGCCCTGTTTACTCAGAGCTTAAAAAGCTTGCGATATTTGAACTCTCTCAAACCATATGTCAATAAAGCTCAGCGGTTTTGACTATTAGGGATCTGCTTGCTGTCATATAATCTGTCTGTGGAGAGTCTCACTTATGCAAATACAAAGCATTTGAATGTCCCAGCTATGACTATGAAGATAATGTCCTTTACTGCAAGATCCAGGTCATAGTTGTAAAGCTGAGTCACATTGCCAGTCGTATTGCCCGTCATACAAACACAGACACTCTTTGGACAAAAGCAGCTGTGATTTCTCCTCTAAGTGAGTTTTAAGGACTGCAGAGAGAAAAGGATGATATAAACATGTTGCAGCCTTCCATGATGCATCTTCCTAGCAGTGCATATAGTTTGTTATGCAAGTCATTTAGTCCTTTGTCGGGAAGAAACAAGTACAACATTCACAACACTAAATTATCCAAATAATTTCAAAATAGATTCTCAGCGTAAATAATTATGCATATGAATTAAGCTTGTGAATATGTGTTAGACTTTAAACAAGAGCTATCTTACTTACACTCATTGGATTGGAAGGCAGTTTCTTTGTTCTTACAGAATTAGGCACCTATCCATTTATAGCAAATGATCTTGCTACTGTGTCATTGAAATATTTTTTAATATTTTTCTGCCAAGGTTTAGAAAGTGGACAGGACTCACTCAGACAGTCAATAATTAATTTGAAGCACTGACTAGGATGCAGTTCTACATAGATTACAAAATTTGCACCCTGCTAGGCTCAGGTCACAGCCCAGATTTCCACCAGAATGAGAGCTAAAAGTCCTTTTTTTCCCCCCTAGAGCAAAAGAAATAGATGACCTGTTTTTTTTCTATTGAGAGGACACCCATAATGTTATCCCCAACTCCAAGAGACCCATGTCACTCTGTGGTTATTTTTCTTGGTTTTCTTCATTTATTCTAGGAGGTGAGGAGCATACCCTTTTTCTGTGAAAAGAATATACTTCTGAAATAACAAACACAGACAAAGGAAACACCAGGCTTGTCATGGATAACAATGAAATACCATACAGAAACAGAACAATTATCCCACTGTGCATATATTGAAATATTTCAAAATTCCAATATATTCTGTGTCCAGGAGACTTATTTAAAACAGCTTGTGATTAAGAAATTAAAAGAATTTGAGAGAGGTTTGACCTGAATTTTCAAGAAAAAGCCTAAATAAGGACACTGCTATGAATTACAGCATATTTTAATGCTTTATTGGATATTCTCCTGTATTTTCAAGGGCCAGATTTGGAACTGATCTTTTATGAGTACCAGAGTAAGTTGTACCTAGTTTTAAGAGTACCAAGCATACGTATGTTCACAGTTGTGGCCAACCACGTAAGTGGATCCATAATCTACTTAGATATTTCCACATCTAAATGACCTAATCTGTTAACACAGGCATTAAATCATCCATATGTAGTACTTGCAAACTGAAATCCAAGCTTTTCTTTTTTTACAGCCCCTGCCACTGCACAGTCCCCCACACAATGCCTGACAGATTGCATTAATGGTGAAAACACAATCAAAAGAGCCGTGTATAAGATTCCTTAAAAGTAAACCTCTTTGTCAACAGAAGTTAAAGTAATGTTCTGATCTTCAGGAAAGCTATTCAGTAATTTATGAAGATTTTTTTCTGAAGGCTCGCTACAGATGCTTAATGCGTTACTAAACACCTGCACAAACTCCTTCCAACTAAGTGGACAATGTTAGGAGGATTCTTTCAGTAACATCTTTATGCACAGTACACCTTATTCTTCAAAAATAATAATCTCACAAGGTTTAAAAAAAAAAAAAGAAAAGAAAACAACACACACAACCCACTGAGCAATGACCCCCAAGTACATGTACTCTTGCAACAGGATTTTGGCCAAAGTGAGAAACTGGCCATTTCTTCCTAGATCACACATTTTTGGTCCTTATTTAGTATCATGAAAATACAAGGATTTATTTTTATCATTGTTTGCACATATATTTTACCTTTGCCAAAGGTAGCTTGAGTATGTGTTCTGAGGAATCTTGAAAAGAAAACAACACACACAACCCACTGAGCAATGACCCCCAAGTACATGTACTCTTGCAACAGGATTTTGGCCAAAGTGAGAAACTGGCCATTTCTTCCTAGATCACACATTTTTGGTCCTTATTTAGTATCATGAAAATACAAGGATTTATTTTTATCATTGTTTGCACATATATTTTACCTTTGCCAAAGGTAGCTTGAGTATGTGTTCTGAGGAATCTTTGGCCTTGAGGGAAATGAAAATTGAGCAGGCATTGCAAAGCAGTCAACACCAGTGAGTCAAATTCAGTTCTGGCATAACCTTGCTGGGTAAGTTTCAGTGGGGAAGTGTGTGTGCAGGGGAAGCAGGGATGGCGGCAGCATGTATACGAAAGAGCATACAGAAGATCGCGACAGCAGTTTGTTCAGGGATCCCAGCAGCAATAGCTTCAAGAAATGACAAATAAGAGTGTCAAATATAAGTGTGCAGGTGTTTGTCTTGAGCAGGAGAACTGAACCTGAACAATTAATGTGCGTGTATGTACATAAATTTACCTGAAAAACCCATTACGCACCTTTAATCCCCTTTTAATCTTCAGGATCACAGAAGTTTTCAGGATAGCACTCCAAAAAATGATGGGCAATGGGAAGGGATGCTCCAGTAAGGCAGGGAAAAAAAAAACCAAACCCCCAAAGCTTGTTCTAGCGAACAAGACACACTCAGTACAGTGAAAATTGACACTGGGCACAAGCAGGGTACAAGCAGCAGAGAAATTTGCTGGAATCACTTTTATTTCCGTTAGCTCAGTACATGCTTTAAGCCTCCCTTACCGAACAAAGGAGCTAAAGTATCAGTTGGCTCTCCAACACTAAACAAAAAATTCAATGACATAACACAGACAGGAGCTGGATCCTCAGCCAGTATTAGTCACCAGCACCAGTGAAGTTCATAGCTATGCGTCACCATGTGCCAGCTGAGGACCTGACATGGCACAGCCACAGAAATTCAGGCAAAAGACTGCTTTCCAGGGAATTTTATCTGAATCATCCTTCTGAACTCTAGCTTCAGGACTTTTCTTTAACTTAAACTTGAAATCCTGAAACATTAAAGAACAGTATGCATCAACTTAATTGGAAACAGTTTTGCCTCAACACATCCTGCGCTTGTTCAAGGACTTAGAGAAAGGAAAAGCCCATGCTTTGAAGCACTGTGACAACTTAAGATAAATTTCAGCATTACTTTTCTAACAGAATATAATTAGAAACATACTTCAACACAGACTGTAATCTAACTCTGGGTAGAGATGCATTTAACCCACATCTTTGGATCTCAACATTCCCAAGTCTTGAAGAAATTCTGACTCTCGCCCAAACATAGCAAATTGTCTTCTTTTTCTATAACGAGCAAAGCAGTTTTAACACTACCAAGCTGAGTTCATCACTAATTCAAAATCATTACTTTTACCATCAGTTGTGTGTTCTTTTCATCACATTAATGACTAAAAACCCAGTTCCTCCCAGTTCCTCTCAAAGACTAAGGTCAGATACCTGTATGTCGTAGGAGACAGTCCCTCCCCACAAAGTCTCTACATCTAAATAGACAAGCAGGCAAAGAGTAAGATAAAGGACACATTGTTATGCTCATTTTCAGCTGGGAAACCAGGCCTTAGGATGACTAAGAGTCAGAATCCCAAGGGAGGTCAAGGATCAGATTCTCAAATGCTCAATACCGAACACCAGAGCCAGACCTTCAGAGGAAAAGGAAAAGGCTCCAAGCTCTTTAGTTCCTACTGAGACTTTTATGCCAGATTTTCAAAAGATCTCTTTGCCCATCTTGAAGATCTGGCCATTGAGGCACCCATTTTAGCGCTGAAATGGGAAATTATCTCTCTAGGAAATCTCACTCCGCATCTGGGCACTACTGTCGTTTTGAAGTGTCGCAGTATGTGATTCGCCCAAGGTCACAGAGGAAGTCTCTTGCAGAGCCAGAAATTTGAACTCACATCTCCTGTGTCCTAACCACAAGTCTATCCTTCCTCTCAGCATCAACACAGTGTACTTCTTTGTTAAGTTTCTTTCTAGTTAGATACCACATAATGGGCCTTTCTCTTTCTTCGTACGTAATGGTAATATGACATTATGAGATTGGCACTTGTCATTCACAGGGAATGCTCTTTTTCCGCTTGGCCCCAAAACACACACACACTTAGCAGATTGTCATCTGTGGATGACACTAGAACCTCTGTATTTTAGAATCTTTTCACAGCA